GTGTCTACTAGCGGATATTAAATTACTCTTTATCGGCCATTGTTACTTAATTCGTGTTACATAAACGCAATTATGGTATAATGTAAGCGTAATTGTTATATCTATTCGCTAAGTCTGGTTAATTTTTTTATCCTTGAAGAACGTGTCATGACTATTCACTTTGAGCTATCACTTTTTATGTATGCAAAATGTGTCTTTTTATATTTTCCTAATAGGTAAGTACCTACTTATCTCAAATAACAATTCTCATATTATCTTTATATATATAAGACGCTGTCCTCTGATGAAACTCATTTCCTAACTTTGAGTTAGGCGCGCTAACGGTTCTAGGTTTGAATCTACGAGAAAAATGTATCATCGACCGTACAGGTCACAGATGTCATTATATACAGTTTATTGTAAATAAATAGCGACGGCGCATCTTGTTGATACGTTATATGATCTGGGTATTTCACTGTACATCATGAGAACACCATGCTTTAATCTGCCATTCTCTATCATAAAGATGATCACGAACTCCCCCCCCCCCGGAAAGATGGATAAGCCATGAATTGCACATTCTGTACCACTCTGCATTTCCAAATGCACGAAACCAAAACAGATCGACAGCAAATTGTTATTAAATCTTATATTACTGAAATATTCCTTGCGTCAAGTTGAACTCATGTTTGATACCTAATAGCCCGTGTTAACTTGACTACTTGACGCACATTCGGTTTCAGTCTGCGGATTTCCGAATATCCAAATAGGTCGACAACGTTTAAAAGTTATAGGTATTTCAACTACCATAAAGGCAGCCCCATGCTTGTCTATCCTCCCCAATCATTAAAAAAGGAAGAAAAGAAACTACAGATGACATGGTTTAAACGGAAGGGTGACAACTGCCGGCGAAGACCGCTGACCGCACTCAATTGAAGCAATTGCGAAAAGAAATCTAACACAATTGTGTGCGTGCTAGTTGAGCTTAATTTGTGACAGACAGATGTTCTACTAATTTTGATCACGTCGTCAGTGTATCATGATCCGCTCCGTGGCTCTATGGTTGAACTAAGCTCCTGAGTTCGAATTTTTGGGTAAGAATAGTTTCAATTAATGGGGAGAACACATTTCTGTCTCCGTTTCTCTGATCGTTATTTAACAGGCAAGTAGTTGATCGGACTTCTGTGCCCTGCCTGACCGAAACATTATTTTTCCCCTGGGATCCGAACCCGCTCTCGCTTAACGCAATGCTAGGCGTACCATTTAGCTACATACGTTTAACCATTTGACTACAGAGGCGGTTCGAAATTTGATTATACATATTATGTTTGCCTGTAAATAATATCGATTAGTGAAATAAACACAGATATGTGTCTGCCGCGTGCCAGATATAGAGACTACCGATATATTTAATATAACATTTATATACGTGAAAAGGATAAGCATCTAAGTACATATATTAATTAATTGTATCAGGTATACATCTACAATCAAATTCTACAATCCGTGAAACCTAAACGCACGTAGGAGGTAACTTGGCTAAAAGTAAGAGTCAAAATATTGGGCGTTTTGTCCATGGTACTTTATAGCGACATAAACTTTCATTTTAAATTTAACATCACGCTTCATACAATTTATTTAACCGTTACCCACTATCGATCGAAGGTTTAACCACCGTGTTACGGGGACAGAGAAGCAGACATTTGCATGAATTGGTTTGATTATTCCAACATCTATTTTGAATGTATCATTTGATAAGCGGCAGATGTTCGTATCGCGAGATGACGCGGTCGTAGCGGAAGGGTGGCGGCGAGGTTCAATTGGCACAATTGGATATAATTGTGGGCGGAATGTCCGGGCACAGCGACGCTGGCTTGGGTCCGCGTTATCGAACTAAAATTACACTATCATATGAACTCAAAATAACACTGTACAAGGAAAATACGAAAATTACACATACACACACATAATACATTATGAGAACACTTTTTAACGGTTTAAAACGCGAAATATATTAGTTAACTTCCTAACAATTTATCTTTACTACCGTTCAATGTTTCTGATGCTTTGCAGGAACCGTGGTCTTTCTTGCGCAAATTGTAAAAAAGTTAATATATTTAACGTTATAAACCGTTTTTTTTATTTAAAATTTTGTTATGTTTAACGTCTGTTTCTCACGAGTGCAAGTATAAAAGTTTATTTGATATTTAATAATACTTACTATATGTTAATAAATCCCTTATAAATAATCTTATATAATCAAATTTATATTATATATTTAAATACCTTTACTGTTACAATATTAATTCACTCTTGCATTTACCAAATAATACGAAATCTTACCAAATATTAAATCATTAAAAATTATTTACTTCAACTGTTATCAAATTTATAATAGCAAAATAAATTGTACTACACGTTAGTTTGCTTCCTTAATAGTAAATCTCAAGAAGTGAAACAAGTTAAACCCAAACCCAGGAACTCACGATTGTTAAAACCTTTCACCCCTGTGCCAGTGTGTTGATAAGAAATAGACGATATACCACATAAACCAGAAATCTCTACTCTGTTATGTAATTGTCAGGAAATGAAATTTACTCTCAATAAAATAAATTACTTAGGCAAGTGGTTATTTATAGCAAGATAACAAATATTATTGTATACAGTTATATATTTCAGTGTTTTTAAAATACATAATGAGAAAAAAAAAATAATAATGAGATTAAGTAAACGTTAAATACTGTCTGTAGTACAACAACTGCGAGTAGTACACATTTAACTTAAACACTTTAACGGTTTTAAACGCGTTATATAGTGTATATTTATTTTTATTTACTTTTAAAAGTCCCGACGTTTCGGATGCTTTGCGTATGTCGTGCGTAGTTAAAATTTGTCAATGGAACGTTATCCAATCTCTTAAAATGATTTAAAAAACTGTTTCTGGGCTCAGTCGAAATCGAATCTACGACTCGTCGATTGTGTATTTTTATTGTACAGTGTCGTTTAAACACGATGCTCTATTCGCAAGATTATTGCCACTTAATAATGTATGTAGAAGTCACGAGTTGCGCGCACGCAGCGCAGGGCGACGCGGAAGTCACAGACGGCAGTACACTTCCGCGTACCGCCATCTTGGCGAGATTCGCGCTCGATCTTGATGTTGGACGTCCGATTAATGCGTAGAGTATAACTGCTATAATTGTAAATGAACGACTGTTTATTAATGTAATTCCTCTAGCAATGTACAGTTCTCTCCAAACTTTTTGGGCGGGCTGAAGTTAGCGCGACCGCCATGTTTCGGATGGTACTGTCAATTTTAAGGCATTTACCTCTTATTCCAGCCTCTAACCTGCTTCTGCTAACCATCCCCCAACTAGCCTGGCTAAAAGTATGGTTGCGGTTGTTTATATAATGTAATATGTATGCCTATAATGAAGGTTTTCGATCTCATGGTCCAACATGTTTCTAGTCAATTTATTTTTTTTTAAATCTTGGACTTTGTCTGGAAATCTCGATAGTACAGATAGGTAGGAATATCGAAATTCCGTCCGAGTCACGAAAAACCGTCCACAGATGCAAAAGCCGTCAAGTTTAATCGCCTTTCGGTTTCAGTCTGTGAATATCTGAATATAGGCTGACAGGACATCTTGTGTGATGTATATGTCTGAGGTTCTATAAAAAAATATAATTTAAGTCTAGGGTATAGAAAAATAATACATGTTATAGTATTTCCCGTTATAATAATGTTCGCATAACATTACGCATGTATGGACGAATTAAACTCAGCAGTTGTATATAATTTATGCAACCGATGAACTAACTAATTTACATCGTTAATTCTCAAAGAATGTATTGTTCTGCAAGTGAATTGTGTACTGTATCCTCACCCTCTCTGTCTTATTACGGAATACAGTGGAACAAAAAGAGATGACCTACATTCGGGACCGGTCGTACGAGATCGGGCGCGCACCGTTGCACATATTACGTGTTAGAAGATGAGGTTATGCGCAGACAGAACAACGCGACACTAACGGAATAGCGATGTGAATTTTCTCGTCCTATAAGGTTTTTATATTTTACAGAATATATACGCAACTCGACGATTGTGGTTGCTTGTGTAACTGTTGAGTCGACTGTGTACTTTTTCATTTTTCTAGAATACGTCCTCATTATAAAATCTAATGCTTCATTGAGCAACTATTGACAACATAGACTATTAAACTATGATTGTAAGTGTTATATAAAAAATATTCAGTAATGTATATAGACCCTTTGTTGACCTGGGAGTACCTTCATTTAAATGAGAATTTTCAGAGCCAAAATATGTCGACAAGGCATTGTTTAGATGTTATATATATATATCTGGGGTCTTTCATCTACCATCAAGTAAATCCCATACTTGTCTCTATTACAAAAAAAATACCTCTGCTTCCATATTAATAGTTGTATTCAGTTTTATTCTCTACATCAAGTAATGGCGAAATTACTTCATTACATGATACTATGACATAAAAGCAAATCCTACATACAGACAATATCCCGCTTATTACAGAATATTTCATAACCGCCTCGTTTACAACACCAGTAAATCTAGACTTAGGTAATTGTATTCGACAACTTCCGATACAGGCTACGTAAAACTACTCGTTATTGAAATTGTAAGCTGGGCTAATATTATGCATATGTAATGTGATATTAACGTCATACACATCTGTTCTCACGGTTTAGTTACAATCTTATAGAGATCACGTATGGACGTTTGGGGACGTATGGGGAGAGGTAGTGCAGCGAAGAAGGTCGGTAGATATTGTCATCAATTAACACTTACAGAAATGGCTGAGACTAAATATGCGAACACTCCACAATATTTGAGCTACTTTGGCTGTAATGTAAGAGAATACACTAGGAAACTATAGCAGGGTATAGGTTTCCTATAATTTCATTTATTTTGACATGAATTAAAAAGATATCATTTTTGTGGAAGGGAAAAATACTTCACTTCAGCGTGAGATGGTTAAAGCCTAATGGTGGTAGAAGAGGGGACTGAATCGTGCACGAAGTGAAGCGAGGTGCACCGCAAAGGCATCGCCTGCGTAATCCCTGCAACAGCACTCAGCACTTCCTGATGGTGGCGCAAGCGTGCGAATGTCGGCCGAGCATTTCGCGCTACTTTCGTAATTCGTTGCGTGGTGCGACCGGCCGCCTCGCCTGGCCCGCAGGAAGTAAAAGTTCGAAGGTAAGAAAGTAGGTCTCCGCTGTAATTGGCAGCGGGCCTGCATACTGATGTCTAGAGTATAAATAGGCTGCGGGCACCTGCGCCCGTCCGACGACAGGACGTGAAAAATGACATTCCCGCCGACCAAAGAACAGGTAAAGTAAAGAACGCTTTTATAAATCGTGCAACTTAACCTTTTGCATAATATTCGTGGAAGATATCGGCTTAAGATCGCGGTGAGTTCCGCATAGCTCTAATTGATACAGTGCCATTTCAGAGGAATTCTTTTGCAATCATGATTTTACAGATTTGGTTGATACCAATTGCATATGATTATGTTGAGGTTATGCCTCCTCTCCCATAGAAACCTTTAAAAAGTTAGAACTCGGGCTTTTACGACAACAGCCATTGTTGATAACAACTCTTCAAGGCAGGGGGTGATGATCCTTCCTACTTTCGAAACTAGGTGTTTCGAAGGAAGGAAGGTAGGAAGTACGAAGGTTCGCGGCTGTAAACCTGATAATAGAAATTAATCTGAACCAACATTTCAACGGACTCAGCGATGGAACTATAAATTGGCATTAATAGCTATGAAGTGTAAAGGTTCACAATGTACCAAACATGGACAAAGTACGAAATCACGCGCATTACGCACGCAGGCCGTATGACATAAGTTGCGTAGGAAGCCGAGCTGACCCAATCCGCTTCATAACTCTTTATTGTAGTTCGGCGCCATGATCTGGGTCGCGAGTCGCAACGCGAGATGCTCTGTAACTAATTGTTTGCGCAATGCTATGTGAGTCGTTCGCGTCCGTTCGTGTTGTTGCAAATTTGAGTGCCGTTTCCTTATATATGATCCGTTGTTTTTTCATGACAAACGGGGACAGGCTTTTCATTATATTAAATGATGAAAAGCGAAATGCCCCAGCTATATAACGACTAAGCAAGATGCGGTAATCTAAGCATCACTTTTCAGGATTTATGTCTTGGATTTGACTCCTTCAGAAACACGACAAGTATTAGATCGGATAGGTTAAGGTTTTAATTACCAGCACCTACAGTCTCTATAGAACATCTCGTTCTATAGAGACTGTTCAATTTCACTTGATTGGACTTTACTTAACAATAAGATTATTTAAAAGTATGTGTTGCTTTCCTACGAAAGTAGATAACGCAAACAGAAATGACGGTAATTTGAGAAATTAGGTATCCGCACCGCAATAGAGGAAGCGTCGCTGGTATCTGATGAGCAACAGTTGCCACATCCCGACACTTGGCAACCAGGCCTTGTGAAACCTTCGTATGAAATTATTTTCTAAGTTCTTGTGCGGTTATGAAATTATGAAATTAGCTTACATACAATATGTTAGGTTGTTATGTCCTACTAGTTCTACTTAAACACAAATCTACTCCCGACGAAAAGGTCGCATTATATAATGTTCGTGTCTTGCACCACTTGTTGAATAAAGGTGTTATTGGCTGGTTTAAGTTATAAACCAATATTAGTATTAAATACTGTCTATAATTTACGTACTTTAGTAGTGCACATTTAAATAAAACACTTTGGGGAGTCTCCCCGTGACCACGGCTGCTGTAAAGCATCCGAAACGTCGGGCCGAAGTTAAAAATCATTTTCAAATAAGTTTAACTAATATATCGCGTTTTAAACCGTTAAAGTGTTTTATTTAAAAGTATTAGTATTTCTGTCTTCCTCTGATTATGGAACTAACTAACGGAATACCACATGTCTTACATTATAAATTTTATTTTATAATATTAACATGCAAAATTTATTTGCAATTTATTGACCTTATTATTATAACTTTCACCTATAATATGCTATGTACCCACAAGAATATACGTTTCTGTCAAAGAGATTCTTTCTATTAGTATTTACATAAAAGTAACCTATTTTCTTAGATTATTTATTATTGGTTACAAAAACAAAATGTAGCTCTAACGCGAGTAGATCTCAATGCCAGTAGGAAATTCGCTGACATCAAAGGAAACCGGAAACGCGGTAAGGGTTAGACCGGAGACGAGGCCCGTTTCCGGCGGAAGAATGGCGCCAGGAAGGTGGGTAGATAGAGAAAATAAATCGACGCCATATTGCCGGACGACAATCGATAATTCCGTTTTGCATGTTTGTTATACAGATTCCGCCTCGTGTTTACTTGCTACTGTAGTAAAAATAATCATTACAAAGATATCGTTTCATTATGCCTGTTATTAAACGTAAATTTAATTAAGATTAAGTTAATAAAATGACCGTTCGACCGTCACGGTTAAGATACCGACGATATATGTATCACAATTTAGTTTAAACTACATTTTTATTATATTATTTCTTATTTCATAAATTCTAATAGATATGTAATTATTATTACGTTCGCACAATAATTATTACGAACACGGAAGAGGAACCATTTGGACGACACTAAGAGCAAAGAGCGAATTGATAATGATGCCACAATTTTAATATGTTCAGACAAAATTAGTTTAGTAAACTGAGCAAAAACTAAACCACATTTGATATTTTTATGTATTATTTAAGAAGCAAAAGCTGAACCATCCAACCAGCTACTTTGTACGATGCAATATGTTGTATATTTGACGCATTATATATATAATTAAATTATAAAGAAAACAATTTACATCTAGAAGAAACTATATTGTATCATACATAAGTTAAGTCTGTTTTTGGTCCTAAAACCTTTAACTGTGACGTATTAAATCGAATTTTGCTGTTTACACTTATTTGACAATTCCTAATCACTAAATAGTTTGTTAATACGTTTAACTTATATATTTCGTGTTTTAAATCGTTAAAAGTGTTTTATTTATATTAGGTATAGACCGACGATGTTTATTAACAAGGAAGGAAACAAGTTGATATTTGGTCTTAAGCGAGCCAATAACTGGTTCTGCAAGTGGTATTCCGAAAACAAGATGCTCTGGACTTTCCGGACTTTTTTTAGATGTTCGCCGTAACTATGCACATAACTACATACCTTGTGATGTTTTATTTATTTGTCACAATGATATTGAATGATGTTTTTGGGTTGTATCTCTTCGCTAAAGCTTAAAATAATGTATGAAGTAGGTAGGACTCGGTAGCTCGATTGGTAGAGCGCGAACGGAACGCTGACAATGCCGGTCCAAGTCATACCCAAGTCGAAAAAAATTTCAATTAATTTTCGATTTTTAAATTATGTAGGATGTAATGTTTAACAATTGTAAATAATAGAGCTGAAGAGTTTTTCGGTTTGAACGCGCTAATATCAGAAACTACTAGTTCGTTTTTTGGGGTGTCTTGGACCGTTTACCGAAGTCTTTAAGCTATAAAATAGCTGCGACGAATAGAAGCGAAAAAACAGTGGGAAAAATCTAATTAAATGGCCGGTACAGTTTATGTCTATCTTTTAAGGTTAACTGACAAGAGCCCCTATTATAAGTACCTAATAAAAGTTCGTCCGAATACTTCATATTAATAAAAATAAAATGGTATACTATGAGAACAGACTCATGGTAAACCCGAAAGACAAGCCTATCAGAGCGAAGATGTATGTTGTTTTTCTGGCGGATATCATCAGTTACTGGTCACATCGGCGAAGGTCACACGGAACACTCTACGTTGGCCAGGATTGGCTCACAAGTCACATTTTACAATGCGAATAAAAAACCCAAATGGCACCAGCTATTCATTATGTTGATGTTATTAATTTTTTTTAGTCGCCGATCCTGGGAGCGTCTTATTCGAGAAAGATCGAAGTGATATTATTGTTTATACGTTAAATACATTTTTTAAAATCTGTAGTTTGTATTATCTCATGATTCTTATTTACAAAGCAATAATGCCATCTCACGGCGAGTCACTTCATCTTTACCAGTTTGAAGATATTAATGTTCTGGGTATCAGTTCTTTCCTAAGGAAGGGTTCAGGGGCCTAGATCAACCACACTACTTATGTGATGAATCAAAGACCTTTTTATGATAGAGATAAGCAAGGTATGTTGATGGTAGGTGAGATAGCCCAACCATATTACATCTTAACAAAATATAAATTTTACTATTTTACGCGGGCGAAGTAGCCGATATAGCTAGTATATGATAACAGATTGGTTCAAATAACCACAAAAGAATTGTACATGTACTACTATAGAGATTATCTACTACAGAGTTGAAAGCCGTTTAAAAACGGTAAAGTAAACAAAACAAACCTCACAATTGTTTCTTACATAACAACCAAATAAGCGTGTTCAAAATGGGCCGTGACATTGCAACAGTGAATCATTCCAATTTGAACTCAATTAATTTCTTGCGTATCTCAGTTTTTGTGAGAAGTAGATAACCTTACTATCATGTTATCTCGGTTTCCTCCTTTCAAAGCGTTTATGGTCCAAAGAAAGGAAGACTTTCGATATCCTTTTTCAAGATTTTCACTTCTGCAAAGATTTTTTATGTCTTTGAAACCGTTTTTAAATCTTTACTCATATTTTAAAGGTGAAACATTCCAGGAGTTCCTGGTTCGAATTGAAGAATTATTTCTCTGTTGATTGGATTATTTGTCGAGTAAAGCTTTAGGTTGCGACCAATTACAGCAAAGAAGGGAAAGGTGGAAAAAAAACGAGAAAATTATTTATCTTCGAGGGATTCCGATGCGTGCACTACGAAAACGGTTCAAAAAACCAATTAATATGTACGAAAGTGTGTTTCTTCTTTAAATGAACTTATATAATGTCCGCGACAGTGAGTCTATCTTTTACGAGAATGACAGAGCGCGGACGACGTCGTGCCTCGTGGGTAACAAATGTAATTTACAAAGCTAAGGAGGTAGTTTGCAAAGTTGCAACTTGTCTATATGACTAACATTTTTAACAGTTTTTTCAGGTATATACCGTTTAAAGGCTCATTAAAACTTACTGGACTCATTAATAGAAATGATTATCTAAAAGCATAGCGCAGGGTCTATCTAGTTTCCTCGGAAATATCAATTTTCCTCAAAGCTTACGTTACCTTTTTAGTAAGGAGCCAAAAGACTAACCTATCTATTTATGTTTAATAGAACACACTGCAGCCCACTTTAATTTAGTCACAAGAGAATAGAGCTGGGCGTGCCGTGTTTAAGCTGCCTATGGAACGATGATTACTGTATTTATTTTGAGGCAGCTAAATTGTTTATTAGAGGGTGAATGTCTTGTCCCAATCATCAAATCTACATGATGATAGGCTACTGTGGTAATCAAGTGGTTGATATAAAGAAAATAAATGTAACCGTTAGGCCCTTTTTAGACAACGTTGTAAAAATAGCGACCGTCTCCATGGCTCAATAGTTATATTATTGAGGTCTTAGGGTCAAAATCTGAGAAAACATAAATAATAGCATCTAATAGTTAACAGAGAGGAGATATTTCTATGCCTGCATCGTAGAAATATCTCCTCTGTCCTTTATAGGGAAATTGGATTGGAATTTTCTATTTGTGGAATTTGTGTTTGTCTTGCTATAGCAATTCTTAGTTTAAAGTGCGCGAAAATATAAAACTATAACAGTGTAATCGAGTCCATAAAAATATATATATTACTTGATAATTGAGATATTTATATGCTATAAAATTATAGCGTAGTCTGAAAAGAGCTTTAGCATGTGCACAGAGCGTGAACAACCGTCCAATTGGTCGAGATTGCGCGTTTCCGGTACGGACACTTCCTTCGATAACCAAGAACGAGGTACTTACATACCATCGCATTTAACGGTCAATGTCCTCAACTCATAACAATCCACCATAGCTCCGAGAAAAATCGCTTTAAATCAACTTCGACATGGCCCGAATGCATTTCGGCAAACGGTTTTAAAAAAATCTAGATTAACCTCAGTTTCTTTAATCTTACAACAAATTATAACGCTAAAACTTTAAAACCACGATGATTATCAACTAATTAATTAACGAAATTATTAATTATAGATTCTATCGCTGTAATACCTACTTAGATATCATTCTTATTAAAATAGTAGCAGACACTAATATGAAACACGTTATCGTGAAATAATGTGGTGGACATTTTCAAACGGCTCTATATTGCAACTCTCAGGCGATACATTAATAATACTAGGGGGACCATAATAACAGCATACATTTTTCATTAAATTGTAAATTACATTTTTTAAATAACAATACTTTCGGAACAGATAACAAAAGCGTGTAAATATAGGTTGCAGTTTTTAAAAGGTTTAAAGATATTAATAAAAAAATCTTTGTTATTTTAAATGTAACCAAAAGATACAACAATATTTTAGGATACATATACAATCTTAAGATCAAGACTACGATTTATTGCGATTCAAACTGTATTGATTTTCATATTTATAATATAGATGCCTTTCGTATTGCTATACAAAAAACTCTAACCCAAGAGTCAATCAACATAAATTAAAATATTTCTAATTAAAATCTGTTTTCTGCTTCTTTTCTGAGAGCCGTCGTAATAACGCGATGCTAACGAAGTTAAATTGAATTTTACAGGTTATATCTTAATATTTTGGTTCTGAATGGTCACCCTACATAAAGGAAATAGCTGAGAGTATCGAGGTGCGAGCCGGCCAGGCGTCGAGCGGAAGTGGCGGCCGTTCCCACGACACTCATCCGTTACTTCACCTCGCCAGCGCGTCTTGCACTGCTTGCATACCATGACAACCCCCCTTCACCCCACCCACTGGCATTCCAGAGGCAGTTACCAATAATATAGAGGATTATACGAGAGTCGACATCGTCTCTTTCTTATTTAATAGTAAACTATTTCATATGTATGCCTATTTACAAGTTACAGGATATCCAGGTTATGTCTATACTTAAGTAATAAAAAAAATATAGGTATTGGTTTACCAACTATTTTTGAAATCATGTACACAATAAATTATCAAGAAACAAATGGATATTAAATTCAATTACAGTAGAAATAGCTTATGTATTTTATTCTAAAAGTGAAAGAAAAGAGTATGTTATGTTATGAAATAAGGATCGGGTATGTGTAGATATATTCTGTATAATAAAATCTTAATATCGTAGTGAAACTTATGTCTAGCTGTATTACTATTTAAAGTTTGTGCTAATGAGACTGAGTGAATTGTACTTCCAAATATATTTTAAGTTAATATCAATTATCAACAACTAGAAATGTCCAGGTTAAAATTCTTGGATATGTTTTCTTTGGTAGATAGATTATTTGCTTTTGCATATTGATAGATGACAGTCCTGACCAGACTGTCTATAATAAAAAAAAACATGTTTATTTCTCTACGTCAATGTAGTCTAATCTAAGACGTCTAGTAGTTTAATTTCAATTTAAACATAGTTCGTGGCTATGTTTACAGTGAATATGATCCAGTACAATCAATGTCGTTGTACTATATGAACTACAATATGAACAGTGGCCACCAACCAACAGCTGATCTCATTGTTTAGTCTACAATTTGATTGCCAACTACATTGTTCCCTATTATTGAAAATCACAAAAAAGCAAACATAAAACTAGTAATTACTCTCAGGTCCATAGAAGTTTTAAAATTACGATAAAGGACTGTCAAATATTAGTCGTTACTAAGACGAAATAACAGGGCAAGGCCGATTAAAAGAACTGTTCTGGTACTAACTCACCGTCATCAAAATGTTGTCAAGTTATAAATGAGCATAGTGATATACCCAACAAACTTTGCAACCTTTGTATTTTAACCTGATGAACTTTACATGTTACGAGTATTTGAAAACTTTAATATTTTTTTACATGTTGCACATGAAGGCACTATATAATTTAAAAATCGAAAATAAATTGAAGTATTTTTGCAACAGCACTCTGCCGGTTCAAGCTCCGCCGGAGTCAAAAATATTTTCAATTCATTTTCGATTCTTAAAATGTTACGAGTATGTCTGTTTTACATAATTTTGTACTTTTCATGATTAGTTAAATCATGTAAGTAGTCGTGATAAAACGTTGACAGTCTAAAATAAATAAAATTTCAAAAACCGTAGGAAGAATTAATATTTAATTTTAGATATTCTAAGGATTTATAATTTCATTATTATTATTTTATGATTTTGTTAGTCTGTGTCTATCTGTGTATTCTTAGCTTAACCGATTTTATGCTACATTATAAAAAGATACGACGAAGTGTATATTTAATTAATTATCTTGTTTAAGCTGTACACACTTGAGTTTGATTTTACAAGCATTTTTATAATTCGGTAGATGCGACGAAACGTGACCGTTCCGAAGGAGCGGAAGTCTTGCGCATTTCCGGAGGCACGACCCGAAGATCCGGCCGATACTTGCCACTGGCCAACCGTTTCTTTTTCAAATTACCTCTGCTATTACAACGCACACGGTAACTGCTATTGAAATGAACATTCCCTAATATTCATCGTTATTAGACGCGCTCGTTGATGTAAAGGTATCAACGCATGGCTAGTAATCAACGGGTCACGGATTCGATCCTGACCAGGTCCAACATATTCCTAACAAATTTCTTTGAAATCTGGATCTCAAATCTAGATATTGAATGGGTGGTATCAATATCCAAAATTCCGTCCGGGTCACGAACCACCGACCACAGATGAAAAACTGTGGAGTTGCCCCTTTCGGTTCCAGTCTGTGGATTTCTGAATATTCAAAGCTAAAATAGGTCGATAGTGCATCTTTTTAAATGTTATGTCATAGGGTATTTTAACATAATATTATTCGCTTTCTTCTTTTATCGAGATTGAAGTTTGTCTATGGCTTGAAGGTATTACGTACGTACTCTTTGAACAACTGTCAAACAACAATATATTTATTTGAAGAAGTCGTTTTACATAAATTTATACAAAAATGCGGTTTAACGAAAACTCAAAGTGATAAATGTGCTTGGATTCAATGTAGCTCATTTGAAAACCAATTATCCAATGGATAGTCCTCAATCAGAGATAATCAACCCATTACCACCAATTTTGTGTAACAATCCGCGACAAAAAGTCGATCCTGAAAAGGTAACTGATTACTTACTTCTGTTTAAGTATACAATGCATAATTTTATCTCTAAATGTAGCAATTAGTCCATTTGTTTTCAACTTTATTTAAATTTATATTTATAGTAGGATTTATCATACGACTAATAATAAAAAAAATAGTGCATATGCGTTCTAATTTTCTGTGGTATTTCAAATAACCAAATACTTTATAACCACTACAATCACAGCCATTGCTCAATTAATTGTCTAAATGTAGATATCTCTTAGAAAAATATGCAAAGAAAAAAACGAGGTACCCCAAACACTAGAAACCGGTGTCAAAGTGAAACCAAATGAACCAGTGCCTTTATATCCATTAGACATAAATTGTCTGCCAGACCACTTATGCCTTGAAGTGGATGAGGAAGCAGTGATCTGTAAGTTACGGTAAGTTTACACATTTTATTCTTCATAATTAAGTTATTTTACATATTCTAAAAACTTGAAAGTATATTTCATTTATATAAATCAATTTAACGGTTACCACTTTAACGTTAACCGTGGTCATGGGGAGTCTTCCCTTGACCACGGTTGCTGCAAAGCATCCAAAACGTCAGGCCGTAGTTAAAATAATTTTCAAATAAGTTTAAAACTAATATATATTGCGTGCGCGGTGACCAAATTACTGGTCCATACTGAAGAACTGTTCTGACCAGAGATTTGTAAATGTAGATAAAACTATTACTAAACTAAAAATTCTTAATTGAGCGTATTACAAATCCTAGCATTCTGAATGCTTTATTAATTATATAGCCAAAATGTTCAAACAACTCTTATATGTTTTTTAAGGTTACAGAACCCTGGAGACCGTACCATATATATCAAGTGCTGTGGATTTTGGGATGAAGCAGGACGGTTAGGTGCAAGCTGGTGGTGTTACCCCCACACAAGATTTCGTCTAGCCCCAGGTTTAACCTGCTTATTATATATCAAAGCCACACCGAAGGTCGATCCTCCTATACCGTATGCGAATGTCAGTCTTCAACTAGCATCAGCTCATTTAAGAGATGACTTCGTTGCCATTTACATGATTCCAATATTTGTAAAATTCTCACAATACGTTGCACCGTGCCTTATGGCAGAAGGATAAAAGATCAATTAAATAAAACACTTTAACGGTTTAAAACGCGATATGTGTTAGTTAACCTTATTTGAAAATTATTTTACTACGGCCCGATGTTTCGGATGCTTTGCAGCAGCCGTGGTCATAGGGAGCCGGACCACGGCTGCTTAAAGTATTTCATTTAAATGTGTACTACTCGCGTAATCTACAGGCAGTCTATAAAGAATACATTTTGATTTTAATGGCCACATAATGAGATTCACATCATATTCGACATTCAAACGACTTTTACCAAAATACGGCCCGATGATATTTGTATTGGTCGTACTTATTTAATATTCCTAGGAGGTTGCTGGACAACCTTTTTTCAACTACACGCTGTCATTTTTTTCTACACATTTCGGAGCGTCTCCACAGTCGTGTTATGTTTCCTTATGAATTACGTCATGTTTGAGAATATTTCTCAAATACCTAAGCAGGAGAGTCGACGCTCAGAATAGCAATCAAGACGCATCACGAGTCGAGACCCTTGGCTTTGTGCATGTGCTATATTAGCCTTAATAATCTTGTCGGTGACTCAGTAAAAGCGCCTTTGTTCATGCAACGCTAGAAAGCTCTCGTGACGGATGAGATTAGCGTATCCTTTCCCCCTTTTATTACATATATAAATTCATAATCAACAGCAGGCAGTGAGCTTAAAATACTTATTATCATTATATGAAATGAAATGGTCCTAAGCTTATACCTAGTAGGGTCTGGTATGGTGCAAGAAATAGATTTTACGAGTGCGTGCGGCGCGATATTTACGCATGTTTACACTTCGGACATTTTATAGGCTCAACGACACCGTCACTGCGTCTTAGTAACATTTTCGGAATTTTGATATTATACGCATGTTTCACTGATCAGCTTTATTTACAAGCTAGTCGGTAAGTTCTATATCCTGCTAGATAAACATTTAAATAAAACACTGTTAACGGTTTAAAACGCAAAATATATACGTTAACCTATTTTTACATAATGCTTTGCAGGTTGGTCACGGGGGGAGGCGTTTCAAACCGTTAAAAGAGTTGTATTTAAATCTTTACTACTAGACTGAAAATAATTCCTCGCAATTCGAAACTAAACCTTTCGCCAATGCCTATACAACGTTTAACAACCAAGATGGGATGGCCGATGTCTGACCTGTATTATTATTTATTCGTTGAAAGTTAAATATAACGTTAACACTATACAATAAAATACATACTGACCGATCTATAACGATAGAATAAAAATAACTTCAGCAAGAAAATTGAATAAAAGACAATCACTCCACGACGCTGTAGGGTTTCCGGGTGAAGATTGAAGTTGATTGGAATTGACTTCTGTTATTATTAACCCACCCGTGCTTCGCCTGCAATTACACAATGAGGAGCACTGACCCGCGTATGGTTTTATCATTTGTAGCAACCATATAAAACCCCCTTTTGATCCAAGCTATATCTCTCAATAAAAGTAAATGGCCATCGCTTCCCGCTTAAACGGAACGTCTTTGCCGATTTAATTTAATCTCTCGCCTTGTGATGTTCCACCGTTTGGAACACAAATTATCGACTCGGTTTGATCCCACGGCTAAAATAAAATATCATATTTCCTGTCAGAAGCGAGCTTCAGCATTCGAGAGTGTCTTTTTTCTACATTTTTTCAGGTCGCCGCATTTTTAAAGAACTGCGGAGCACATGTTTGTTCAACATACGCGACGCCTTCTTTACATTTGTATTTTTTACTGTATTGTCTGGCCGGGAGTAGAATGCGTTGGGAGACCTTTCAGATAAACCATGCGCGAGGTTACTGTAAACATTGTTTATGTAATGGTCGTGGGTAAGCGTCTATACATAACATGTCAATTCGTTTGTTTTAAGTACTGTTACTTTCTACATATGCTTATATCAATTGCTGTGATGATAACTATCAAGGATAAGTTACATACTGACAGACAAAAATGTAATATTTCAAAGTACACGACGATTTATATACAAAGAGATATTCGTTCTGTAGGTACATTATCATTTCAAGTTGAACAGCAGTTATCAATATAATTGGAAGGAACCAGGCAGTGATCAATATATCGTAATGAGCATTGTTTATTGCCGTTACAGCAAAGTGCCCGGTGCCGGCACTTAGCAGTTAGCGGCTGTGTTAGATCGGCGTATTATAGAGCTGCGCGTGCGCCGCTTCTCACGGCGCTCGCTGCCGTAGTTGCCGACTTGTTCCGCGCGACTTGCATAACGGCAAGATAACACGTAATACCACGTAACACCGCGAATCATACATTTAGGGCACGTGTCTTGATTCTTGAACATAGTAGGTATGACGCTTATCATTATAAGCAACGAGATATTGCTCCTAAGAATAAAAATTTATCACTAGCAGAAACTAAATGTTTTCCTTAATCTTTATCCTTTTATGGGAGGAGGGTAAAACTTTAGTTTGCAATGAAAGATTGTAGTGCGGAATGTTTAGTAGGTATTTAAAACGTATAAATAGTCAATCTTTTCACGAAAACATTATTTATAGATCATTAAGGAGTCCCGCAAACGTTTTGGCGACATTTGAGACATCTTTATCTCACGGATGGCACATGCTCACCTTTTCGAGGCTACCACAAAAGCTCGTATAAAGTTACTAGCGATAACTAGCGCACGAGACACGTCAGATTTGGAGATAATCCTAAACATCGCTGCTGACAACAAAAGATCGAATTGCCAGGTTGCAATCGAATCCGCAACTATTCCTCGGAAGCAAGGCGCCAGCTGCCGTGGCGGTATCAAATTGCCGAGAGATAAAGGATTCTTTAATACGAAAAACGTTGAGCGAATCAGGGGCACGTTCGAAATGTTTTTACGCTCAATCGAATCCAAACAGATGATCATTTGTGCGCATGCGATGCAGACAGTAGTCGGTGCTTATTCTGTTATTATTTCAAAATTAGGCATTATACATATTTTGATACTAGCTGTGCCAGCTACTTCGTCCGCGAGAATCATTATTTTGGGCATTCAAATTAGTTTTTGCAAACCCCGTCACCTTTATAATCTTAAGCTGTTAGCCACGACGTCGATCGTGTCCCTTCCCGTCGTTCTTGCAAGTTAACCTTTAAAGATAGACGTAGTCGCGGACTTTTTTTTAGATAATTTAAAGAGGAATCAATCTTTCATTCAAATTTTTTTTGGTATCATAAACCGTTTTTGTAGAAACCCACAGAGGTGAAAAATTTCCCCGCTTTATCCACATTTCCAGCTGTATCTTCGCCTCTATTGGACACAGCGCGATGTTTTAAAGCCTATACCCTCCCTAACAAATGATCTAACTAACACAAACGAGAATTTTTCAACTCAAACCTGTAGTTCCTAAGATTAGCGCGTTCAAACAAACAAACAAACTCTTCAGCTTTATATATAGTATAGATTAACACATCTAAGACATATCGCTATGTGTATTGAAAGAGAATATGTGACTTAAAAATATATGAGATCTGCCTCGTTGGTCTATAACAGGAGGTCAAGGTATTTTTACCCACGGCCTGGAAACGAACGGCCATCTAAGGGCGGTAGTCTTATAAACCCACCAATGGACACTGCAGCAGCGTGGTCTTAAGTCCCCTCTGCCATGAGCTGGGGAACATAATTAGTTAGAACGAAACATATTTGATCAAATTATTATTTCTTAAACTTAATTGTTTAAGAAAGAAGACAAAAATTTTAATTCCCTAAAATTGTTAATCATACTTCGTCAGATATCATATCACTCATTGATTGATGTTGATAGTAATAAGACACATGTGAATGTGTAGTTGGTATATAATAAAATGTCTTCCAACGTTCCTATCATAAATAAAAGCACTTATTAGTTATCACGTTAAAATATTTAAATGTTCTGGTAATTAGAATCCGATTTATATTTATATGGCGGCTGCGGGAGAGCGCGTGTTTATAAATATTACGACGTGGCTATGGGAAGCCATATCGATGGCTTAAAAAATTCCAATACAGGAGCTAAGTTACAAATATACCTATTACAATAGTTTCTTTTTTATGTCAAAAGTTTTTTTTTCTCTAAACAACTTTCTATGTGCAACCAGTTCGAAATTTAAAATAAACGTTTTGATGAGTTACCTCTTAGAAGTAGAAGATACCTAGTAGAAGATGTCCCATTTTAGATTCACGACAAATATGATTTTTTTTTTTTATTTTTTTGGTCGATAAACCCGCCCAATTCCGTTTTCCCCCCAAAATTTTCCCCCCCCCTTCCCCCCCCAACAAAAAATTTTTTTTTTTTCGAAAAAAGGGTCCAAAAAAAAACCCCAAAACCCCAAAAATTTTTTAAAAAAGACGGCATTATATTTATGGATATTGTATATCAATACCCACTTTGCTCTCAATGTGATTGGTGTTTAAGTCCTCGAATAGGCATACAATCAAAGTTAATAACAATTTTTATTTGTTTTTTATGGAGTACTCTAGACTTAGAATGTCGTGTATGTGAGTGGCAGATATTAATATATTTATCATATTGCACTTTGTATTATGATAAATACTTATCTTTACTTTATGATCTTCACTCTAATCCTACTTTTTCACAATTTAACGACGCAATTTATGCTTCACGCATGAACGAAAGTCAAATATACCTGTCTCTGAATATGTATAGTTCTATTTTTTCTGTCTGTCGTCTGATCTACAAAAGTATACACAAAAGTAATAATTGTATAACTGTAAACCTAGCAATGTTTGAAACGTACGTACATATTTTTATTTGTTTGCGTTTCTCCTTCGTTTGTGAACTGATTTTGAAGATTTTTTAAGCCGGTAAAGACAGAAATAGCATAGAGACATACATAGTAATTAGTATATATTAAATTTTAAATGTTAAATAGTAAAATTGTGATAATTAGAAGGATCAATACAGTAATGATGCCTAAATACAATTTCTACGTATTACCTAGAATTTCTAATATTCAATATTACATTTCGTCTCGTAATATCAGCACGTGTGTTCGCTGTTAGGAGATCACCTATCCCGTTCTCGGAAGCGGTTTAATTTAGTACTATGATGTCAGAATCTCGTACCGCCTTTGCGTTTCCGTATATAAACTTGATTTATTTATATATTGTTTTGTAGATTCTTGTGAGATGTGTTTAGGTTATTTTTGATAGATCTTTAACAAAACACCTTATACGCTTTGTTGGGTCGCTTGAACATTTTATTTCTGAATATATTAACTACAAATATCGTTACCTAAATTACATATATTAAGTGGGTACTTTAGCAGATTATAAAAGAAATACTAATAAGACTACTCTATCAGATAAAAAACTCTTTTTGGATGTAAGTTACCTAATAAATGCAGGACCATTTTGTCTTATTATGTTAAAAACGTGTTATCAGGGTTCGAATCCTGAAGACATAAAAATATATCGTTTCGGTTAGTCAGGACACAGTTCAAAATCGATCTCCTGTTTCCCCATAAAGCGGACAAATTTTGACCCTGCTCGACCGAAACAGTCGAATTCGACGAATTTTTACCAATTTCGAAGCCTTTAGGCCTTAACGCAATGCTAGGCAACACTCTGATCAAGACTAGATAAAGAAATATGGGATAAGAAATATATAAGATTATGATTTTTATGCGAAATAAAACGTGTTGTTCTTTAATCTAAAGATTTAATGTTCTTGTTATTTAACAATCTACTTACACAAACTACTACAACAATTTTAATATAAAAAGAATTACCTGAAAGAAACAACAAATTAAGTTATTTCGGCAATCTTATAAGAACAATCTTATTAATAACAATGGTAAATTACTTATTTATAGATTGTAAAGAATTTCACTTCATCACCCCGTTCACGATAAAACCCGCCATCTTGACATTATGCGTGACGTTACACCACGTCACACATAATGTCAAATCTTTAGAATTTGCGGGAAATTTAAATCCTCTTACATATATAAGAGAGATTTCCTTTCTATAGAGTATAGAGTTTTTTAGATAGAAATGAGACCGTTTCTATTTATGCAAAATCAATAGTGCTCCATGGAAAGATAAATATCGCCCGCCGAGCCATAATAAGCAACAAGGAACTACACGCCGTTGTAATAAATAGCTGTTTCTCGCCACGACAGATGTAGGAACAATGCACACCACGGGACGTCCGAGGTTATGACGCCTCATTGACTCTACAATTGATATACATTCAGTGACGACCCACTATTTTCGTTCTTAGTAAAAAGATAGGTAATTACCCCGATAATTCATTCATGTATTAAAGCTTCATTCAATATTCGATAAGTATGAATGAAATTATGATAATTACTGAGTACTAGTTTGTATAGAATTTAGTCTTAACAGATGTATTAAATATGTAAAACTTATATGAAATAAAATAAAAACAGAAATATTCTACTGTCATCCATTATAAAGGAATCAATATAGAAAAAAAATGCTTCATGGCGCATTAGATTTTTTGTCAACAAACTTTTGTCAATGCATCGATACTATAGAAAATCGATGGCCGATCGATTATATTTTTATATTTTAGATATAAACTATGCATTTTAGCTTATGATGAAATAATAAATAAAAATCACCTAGGTTTTCCCTAACTTAAACTATATAAGAGAAAGTACGAGTAAATATTAAGAAGTAGACAAATTTAAATAAAACACTTGAACGGTATAAAACGCGATATATATATATATATATACTTTAATTTAACTCTCAGGTTTCCTCGTGAACACGGCTGCTGCACAGCATGGGAAACGTCGGTCCGTAGTTAAAATAGGTTTTACTAATATATATCGTGTTTTAAACTGGTAGTGGTTTATTTAAATGTGTTCTACTCGCGTAAATTACGGACAGTATTTTGACAATTAAATGTTAATATTATGTATAAATAAATATATGTCACAAAATTGTCCATACATCCCGAGGTTTGTTATTTATTTTATTATCAATAACAAAACTATTATTTACTTATTATCCAATATAAGGTATAGAATAGTATAATATTTTACGTTTCACAAATTCGTCCTACTAAAAAACCTAATACCCCAAAGCCCTAATGTGGCATTAGATGAGTGTAAAATATTGCCAGAAAAACGTTAAAAGGCTTGACGAGCTCTGATTGGAACCACATGTCGTCACTGAACTATGGAATAAATTAAAAAACAATCACCAGCTCATTTAAGTAAACAGAAAAACGCTAAGCGTCGCAACGGAGATATTTACTCCCCTAAGCATCACTATAGTTAGGACGAAATTTCAGCGGTAGGTAATCTGGTAGCGATGTTTAACGTAAACTTTTTGTACCGAGTGCGACGAAACGAAATTCTCGGCGTGGGAAAGTTCAGGAAGGTCAGGTGGATGCACATGTGCTCCTCATGTTTGGAGTATTAAAAATAATAACAAAATACAAATATAGGTGCCGAGAAGACACGTCTTCACGGGGGACTGTGCCCGAACCTGACTCTCGCCTGGTGGTCCGTAAACAATAACAAAGTATTATTTTATCTTAGTTATGAGCGTGGTTTCCAGAGTATCTTACACGTGAGGTTGCGGCCTAATCGAATTACCATAGCGCACTGCATTCGCTTATTTAGCACTTATGTGGTGTTTGTTAACATCTTTTATGCCTCACTCTCCTAGCTATTATATGGGAATTAAGTTTATGTGTG